AAATAAATGAATTTTTGCATGATAAAAAAAGGTATTAATTTTTTAAACAAAAATTTTTTGATTCAAGAAATCTCTAAATTTATATGACCAACCTCAACTAGTTCAACAAACAACGAGTCATATTTAGATTAATTGATTTATATTTGGTATTCTTATAACAATATAAGCTATATTTTTCAGAGGCAAAGCCACGATTTAGATTAATTACTTTATACTTGGTAGTTTTAAAATAAAATAAGCTTTTTTTTTTTTTTAGATTAATTGATTTATATTGGTATTCTTATAACAATATAAGCTTTATTTTTCAGAGGCAAAGCCACGATTTAGATTAATTAATTTATACTTGGTAGTCTTAAAACAAAATAAGCTTTTTTTTTTTTTTAGATTAATTGATTTATACTTGGTATTCTTAAAACAAAATAAGCTTCTTTTAGATTAATTGATTTATACTTGGTAGTCTTAAAGCAAAATAAGTTTTTTTTTGAGGTAAACCGCGATTTAAAGTTTATGATTTATGAATTTGCTATTGAATTCATAGCTCGTTTTAGTTATTGAGTTTGTAATGAAATATTCATATACATATTTAAATGGATTTCCTAATACAACATAGAATTTGAATAAAACTTACTTGTTACGATCCCAATTAGTTTAAATCTGCATTACGTGAAATTCATTAAAAAAAGTATTTTCTATTAGAACTTTTTCATTCTCATGACTCGAACGAATGGATGGTAATGTTTCCCATTAATTTATTTGATAATGGTGATTTTACGTACGTACTAATGTTACATAACAACCTATCATTGCCACTAGCTGCACATGTATAAAAATTATTAGATGAATAATTCGTAATAACATAGTTTTAATAAGTGAGGCACATGTCCACCCTTCTATAATTAATGATATTTATTATTCATATCGATATGGGTTATAATGCGTTAGTGAGATTTTAATCAGAGGTTTTAAATTGATATTTTTTTAGAAAAATATTTGTTGGGATGCCACTTCATGAATAGACCTTATAATGCACGATCTGATTTAATTGAATTTTTAATACAAGCTCCAAACATCGAATGAATAACAAAAAAATAATAATTCATTATTCATTAATATATTATGTCCCCTATTATATGTATTCTTTTTCTTGGATATTACACTCTTTGTCTCAAATTAACTTAACTACCTTACTATAGCTTAAAATAATTTTATTTTAGTAATTCAAGATTAAAGTTGACTATTATTTTCAATTATACACTTCTTCTGTCTTATATTACTTGTCCATGTTATTTCAAAAAAGGTTTTCCAACCTTTAATTTCAATTCTTGATATTGATAGTGATATATAAGAACAAAACGATGATTCACATTTTGGACTACAAAGTTGCTCATCAGATTTTACTTTTGGGAATTGGTAACTTGAACCTTATATATTAGTCTTCACTTCTTCAGTCCTTTTGTTAAGCTTTACGTTTTGGTATAATAAAGTTATTTAGCTCAGCTGCAAAATCTGTTATTAGAAATGTTTCTTGTGTTTAGAATCATAACACAAGATATATCTGGTAATATATATAAGAAGGGACAGGAGAATATGGTACACAATAAGGATTATATCTCATCGGAAGGATGTACAGGTCAACATTGCCAATGGTGGAAGACACAATGATAATTGAGTCAATCAAATATTTATGATTTTTTAACATAATTTTAATTCATATACATGATATGAAATTCTTTTTATTGAGTTTCCGAGAATTCGTGCCTAAATTTTTGTATTCATTCAAGACTTTAAGTATCTATACCCCCACCCCCTACCCGCCTTGACTTTTTTGGGTGATTTACGAGAATTACTATTGAAGTAGGTGATTTTGAACTTTTGACTCTACTTATTTCTTAGGCAAAATTTCAAATTTAAACTTTAAAGATTTGCTTATAAAGAAAGTAACAATCACAAGTTCAAAATCACTTATTTTCAAAACTATTGAATGTAATTTGTGGACTTCTCCTTATTTGAACTTTTGGTCCAAGTGCCTTTATTGATGGAAAAATTACTCAAACACATATCTTATTATATCATAATCTCTAAAATTTTCTATCATTTAAAAATATTTCAAAAATTCCCTCTCGGATACATAATTTTCCTCTCGCTGATATATCCATATTCCTCTCGGATACATCCCTTTCTTATGTATCTAGATCTTATCCCCTCTCTGATACATTCCTCTCCTTTCGGATACACCCTCCCCTATGTATCCGAATGTCCTATCCCCTCTCTGATACATCCCCTCTTCGATACATACCTCGCATATATATATTCGGATGTCTACTGATGTATCCGGAAGTTCAGTGATGTATCTGAAAGTCTAGTGATTCTATAAATTTTAAGGGACTTTTGTTATTTGAAAAAAAGTAAGAAAATAATGCAATTAGCTCTTAACATATGAGATTTATGTAAATTATACCTTATTGATGTAGTCCACTAGAATAATTAGAAATGGGCCTGAGCACAACATAACACAACTCTTAATGAAAGAAGAAGAAAAAATGTCAACAATAGAACTTATTTATTTAATTTTAATTAGGAAAGTTATTTTTACTTATTTAAGGAACTTATTTTTATAAAAATAATAAATTAATTAATCAAACATGAAAAGAAATCAATGAACTTTTCAAAAATTATTTTTCTTCATATCAAACACAACCTTTACAAAAGAAATAATCATTCACACCCTGAATAAATGATTAAGAAAAAGGTTGACTAAGTCATAAAATATGATCACGTAACTTTATTATTGTACCCATGAAATTACAAAGTTATATTTCGTCACATTAAAATAACTTAATTTTATAAACTATAGCAATGAAATTATTAAACACTTTTCTCACTACTTCACTAACTTCTTGATTATCCACTTTGCCTTCTCTGTTTGATAAAAATAATAATTTGTAATATCAATATGAATAAATTGTAATTTTAATATTAGAAGATTGTTTTTGAATTTTAACGTGTACATCCAATTTATATATCGGTCTCTCCAAGAATATGAATCTCCAGAAAAGATTTTCAGTTCAATTTGTTTTTTTTCCCTCTCCACTCGGACCAATCCACCGACTCAGATTATCCATTGACACGAACCTCAATGACAATGAATATATTAAGATTTGAATTTTGAATTGAATTAATGCCTCCCTCAATATATTGAAAAATTATGAATTTTACCGAGAAAAACAATATATTTATATGACAAAATAACGCTCACTAGCTATTTTTAGCCACTTAACTGAAAAATAATTATTGTTGTGGTATTTTAAATTTTGCCAGTAAAATTTAATGACGATGTCATAAAATATTATTTGTGAAATTTGAAACAACAAAAAATGGTTATATTTTTTATTATTAAGGTGCTAAAAATGGTCAATTTGTTTAGAAGGGACAATGATGCCATTATGACTTCGCTTGCTATGAGAGATGGTAAATTATGCTGAAATTATGTCACCACTTTATTATTTTGTACACATAAAAAGAAGTAGAAAAAAGTCCATTTATTCCTAATTCATAAGATTTGTTGAAACTATGTGGTCACTTTTTATATAAAAATAATAATAATTGTAACACACTTATAAATGCCCATCGATTCCTTCATATACACACACCTTACTATAATTTTTAGCTTTCTTTGTACAAATACAAGCCAAGATTGATGTCTTTTTTTTTTTGAGAAAATTTTTTTGGCTCACCAACTTGATTCTTTCACTTCCTTGAAGTCGATTGCTAATCGTTTTAAATTCTCTATCTTTTATCCCTTAGATTTTCACAAATTATCTCCTCCCCCCCCCCCCCCCCCCACCACACACACACACACAACCCCCCTAACAATCTTCTTGGTTTTCATCTTTTCTGGGGGCATGGATCAATAACATGTAAGTTGAATCAAACATATGTGTCAATTTATGTTTGAGGTTAAAGGGAAAAGGGTGAAATTTGCCCTTGCACTTTGCGTAATGATCCAAATATTATTTTTGAGTTGTTCATATTGTCACTAAACTTTGAAGATTAATGCTATTGTTATGCCAACGCTATCACCATCTTCTTCTTCCATACTTAAAGCCTCCCATGACTAGGTAACTGATTTGATTAGACGGATGAGGAATGGTGGTTGACAACAATGCCGATTGAATTTGGATTATTTCAACCAAATTTGGACGGTTCCGCATAGTTCAATGGCAAATTTGACCTTTTTTTCCTTATTGAAATGACTTGTGTGTTGAAAAGCTATTGTTTTTAGTCAATATGGACAAATTGAGCTAACTTTTACAACGATAAGATAGATTTGTCTTCCAACTTTTATAGAGGAGATAATTGAACTATTTTGCAAAATACAAAAAGCAAATTTACTTTCATGTCTATAGGAAGTTCATGAATGTTATTACTAATACAAATGCATTTCTTTCTTTGATCTTAAATTTACAACTCAATTAGTTCATCAATTAGAAATTTCACTACTTTTCCCACAAGTATCTATGTCAAAAGGTCTACTTTGTTTGAAGTTAAGTTAGTTTAGACAAAAAATTAAAAGTTTACAATTGGAATATCAATTCTTTAAACTTCAAAAATCCATCTTCAAAAACTAATTGAAAAATCATTAATGTATAAATGAAAATGATCAAAAATACCCCAAACGTTTAGAATATGACTCATCAACTTTTCACTTTTGATCTAAAAATATCCTTAACCTTTGTTTTTGGCTCAACGTTACCCTTCCTTCACCTTCTGATCTACACACATCCTCAATCTTTTTTTCGCTCTAAAAAAGAACTGAATTTTCACCTTGTTGATGAGCGTTCGATTCCCCACATTCAAATCGGACCCAATTTTTTTTTCAAAATCACTTTAAAAAAAAGGGACCAATTAAATTAATAATAATTTATTTTTTGAAAAAAATAAAAAGGAAAAAAGTTCAATGTCCAAACTTGGCCTAAATTTTTTTTATTTTTTTTTAAACCTTTTTTGGCCTTTATCCTCATTCAACTAACCAAAAAATTGAACCAAACCCTAACTAAAATAAGGGATCCAATAAGCCCTAATGCAATAAGGCTTAACAATTTAGCCTATAAATTCTCCCTATTCCCATAGAATTAGGGCACAAAAATTTCATCTTTTGATTGTTTGATCGATTTTGAGCTCATCCATCATCAATGGCGGCCGAAGGTACTCGATTGACAGGGGTTGTGTCTCGGTTCAGTAACCAAAAGGGTTACGGTTTCATCAAACCTGATGATGGAACCGAAGATCTTTTTGTTCATCAATCTGAGATCAAATCTGAGGTGGGGTTTCGTTCGTTGTATGAAGGTCAGAAAGTTGAGTTTATGGTGACTGGGAATGGGGATAAGTATCAGGCTGTTGAGGTTACAGGTCCTGATGGAGCACCTTTGGATGGAGGTCGTAACGGCGGCGGTGGTGGTAGGGGTATGGGTCGTGGTGGTGATCGGAGGAATGGGAATGGGTTTTTGAGAAGTGGGGGTGGTGGTGAGTGTTATAACTGTGGTAGGGTGGGTCATATGGCTAGGGATTGTGATCTTATCAGTGGTGGAGGAGGTGGCGGCGGCGGTGGTGGAGGAGGTGCGTGTTATACTTGTGGAATGACGGGGCATATAGCTAGGGATTGTGTTGGTGGTGGTGGTGGTGCTGGAAGTGGTGGAGGCGCCTGTTACACTTGTGGAATGACAGGGCATATAGCTAGGGATTGTGATCGTAGTGGTGGTGGTGGTGGCGGCGGCGGTGCTGGAAGTGGTGGTTGTTACAATTGTGGTGGACTTGGGCACATGGCTCGAGATTGCCCTAGTGAGAGACGTGGCAGCGGTGGTGGTGCAGGTGGTGGTAGTGGGGCTTGTTATAATTGTGGATTGCCAGGTCACCTGGCAAGGGACTGTTCACGCGAGAGTGGTGGCGGTGGTGGTGGTGACAGATTTGGGAGATCCGGTGGTGGCGGCAGTGGTGACAGGTTTGGGAGATCTAGTGGCGGCGGAAGCAAGTGCTACAACTGTGGAGAAACTGGCCATTTTGCAAGGGAATGCACCAGCCCAGCTGTGAAGTGAGAAAATCTTTTAGGGGAAGAGTTGTCATGTACATGATCTTCTCTTTTTCTCTTGTCTTCCTATTTAGGAGTATTTAATTAATATGGATAATACAGACTTGTTTCTTTTGTTACTTTTAGTTTCCTACATACATGCATTGGTAGCTTTTAGGATAACAAATTAGTTGTTGGGATTTGCTACAAACTGTTTCTGTGATGGAAAGTTTTGATTTTTGTTGGTTATACAAATATATAAAAAGCTCGGCTTTGGATTTGGAATTTTTGGGTTTCTCATGGTAAATTTCACTTTGGATTAATGTTTTATGTCCATTAATATTTTCCCTCTTTGATGTTCATGCTTCTGCATTTTGAATTCATGGGAAAAGTTGTGAAACTCTAGCAGCTTCAATTTTTTGCTCGTATCTGAGATGTTTCACTTCTTTATTTGTAGTGATTATGTCTTATGTATGCTTTATGTCTCTGTGGGTTTGGGAATGCCCGGTGCTCATCGAGTGACGATATTCTGCCATAGTCCTAGAATAGTCTTTCTGTTGCTTAATCACGGGGAGATACTGGTGATTGATTGAGTTTTGATCTATTCTTTAGTCAATGGATTCTGTTTAGGTTAGGAGATTGCCTTTGGGGGTTATCATTGAGTTGTAAGTTATGCAATTGCTTTCTATTGCTGCTGTACTAGCTTTGGTTTTTCTTGCAGTTAGTTAGAGATAGTACTGAACCTTAGACTCTAAATATGGACTGAAGTTACATGAACATTCTTGGTATTGTTGAATCTTTTGATCTTGCTAAACACGGTAGTGAATAGTGATGTGTCATACTTTGTGGTGTGGTACTGAAGCTTGAATATCTGTGTAAAGTTTACACAAAATGTGTTTTTTTCCAGTTGCCAGCATATAATTAAATGATTGATTTTCTTTACTCAAAGTGAGAACTGAGTAAAGGGACGAGTGTGTGGATCCATCTTAAGGTGGCTGTTTTACAGTGTTGTTGCCTTGGCTATCTCAGGACCGTGAAGACTTTGCTAAGTGTTTCTCTATTTAGGCTGCATATTTGGACTCAATACATATGACCTTGTCTATTTGATGCCTGATATGGAGTATGAATAAAATTAGTGTCTATACTCACTTGTTTTGGAATACAATTGTGATAGGCTCGTTAAACAAATATTTTGAGTGCTAGTAGTTTAATTTCAAAATAAAAATAAAATATTTTTAGTGCTAGTAGTGATGTAGCAAGGAATAGAAACAGAAAATAATAGTGCTAAGGATTAGTAGTTAAACGATGAATTCAGCTATTAAAGTTTTAAACGATGAACCATAAACTTTCTAGATAAACGAAGAACTTGTTAAATGCTTGCCTCCAAATCTCCAATGGGGGATAGTCTTCCTAGTCAAGGGGTAGATGAAGATCTTCTTTCAACCACTAAGTCAGAGGAAAATGTGAAGGTTGGGACTCTTTCCTTCTCGGAACTCTCAAGTTGTCTTTAGTTTATCTTCACTATTAATTTTATCACATCAAATTCTGTCAAGGTTTTGAATGAATATTTGCACCTCACTGATCCTAGTCTCCTCCATACTAGTGTGTTTAGATGACAATCAAATATTGTCGGGTGGTAGGAATGGTGTATGCGAACTCATCATCCCTTGCAGATAACAGTTTGTAAACAGGCAGTGTTGTGCTGATTCATTTTTGTTCTCTGGTCCTAATTCTCCAGAATTTGAGCCAGAGGGTCTACCGGAAACGACCTCTCTACCCCACTAAGGTATGGGTAAGGTCTGAAGTACATCCTACTCTCCTAAATCTCACTTGTGGGATTACACTAGGTTGTTGTTGTTGTTGTCGTCCTAGTTCTCCAAAGTGATGTTCTAACTTAACAACTGAAATGATGTATATTCCATGTTTCTGTTTCTGATTCCAAATTATGTGTTGTAACTAGTAAGTACCATCTTTTTAGCATTGGCATCTAAGTTGCATGAACTCTTCACTTTCGTTGCCGCACTTGTGTTGGATTCTCCAAAAATACACTACTTTTGGAAAATCCGACTCGCACCCATTGACATTTTTGAAGAGTCCAAGCAAACATAGATTGGCATAACTGGTGTTGGTTTCATAATGGAAGTTTTGGTGACAAGTTGAGCTACTAAGAGTAGGCATGATCAAACTTCTAGTAAATAAGAGACTATTAGAGGCAGCCTGACTTTAGTATATAGATCAATTTGTGTGTCAAGCTTCACTCTGAATGCCTTCTTGATTGAGAACCTTGAGACATGGGTCAAGTTGAACTCATTGCCATCATTAGCATTTTTTTTATGACAAGGAAAATCCGCAGTTGCTACCCTTTGTTTGTGCACAGGGTAAAAGCCCCGCTCTTATCCATTAGCATTTTCCTCAGACTGAAGGTCAATCCATTGAATTGTTCGAGTTTGACTCAAGTTTTGACATATACTTATGTGGAGGAATCAATATCAGAAATAGAATCACTGTCTACAATATCAGCTTGGTTGTAGACAGTAGGGATTACAGTAGGATAAGCAAATTTGATTTCTGATTCTGCTCGAGTCAAGGGTTTATCGGAAACCACTTCTCTACCCCTCTCAAAGTTAGGGGTAAGGTTTGCTTACGTTCCACTCCCTTCGTCCCTACTTGTGGAACACACTGCATGTTTTGTTGTAGTTGATTAATGATTCTGCTTTAGATGGAAGCCAAAAGGAAATTTGTGGAGTATATATGCATTAACTATGCAAGGTTTAGGCATTGAAAAGTCAAATCAAATCGACGACTAGTCGCATAATTTGAAAAGTCAAATCAAATCGAAAAAAAAAATTCTGACTAGGTCAGGTTTATTTTGATTTGGTAACAAAAATAAACTGAACCAAATCGATAAATTAAATGTATAGTTTTTAAAAGCTGACTTTTAAAGATTTGATATTGGATTTTCTTTGAAAACATGAGAAATATTTATGTTTCTCTTATTGGATGTGATATTATTTATTTAATAGAATTGTGTAGTGCATTCATTTTTATTTACTGCTTAATTTAATATGTAGTCACTTAAAAATGGAGTGTTATTAAAATTTATCAATCTATTTGTTCTTTGCAAGATATATTGAACTCTTATATAATTGTTGAATTTGAGATGGAGTATTTCAGTAATTTTTAAATTAAATATAGTGTATTGTCTTTTAGGTTTATATTGAGTTGTGTTTGATTATTAAAATTTAGTTAAGTTCAAATGCATGCATTATTGAAAATTATTGTTAGACTAATTACATAGCTATTATGTGTTCAATAGATCATATATTACTCATTTTGTCAATTATTATTATTGATTTGGTAAAAATCGACAGAACCAAATGTACACCTCAACTTTGAAACCCCACTTGAATCTAACACCAAAGGTTCAAATTGCCTTGTAATTTATGACACTGCATTTGAGTTATTTTATGAAAAAATTATTTAAATACACAATTTATTTTATTATATTTTTTAAAAAATTTCTATCATTTGAAAAAAAATTACAAAAATTCCTACTGTCTCCTATTTTCGGATGATGTACACAATGTATCGTTGAGTGATATATCCGAAATCAAGATACAATGTATCATGTATTTGGATTTCCTAAATTTAAGGGATTTTTGTAATTTGGAAAATAGTAGAAATATGATGTAATTAGCTTTTAACATTATGAGATTTGTGTAAAATTTAGTACTTTTTTTATCCAACCCATTTAATTCTACGCGAATTGGGCGAGTTAAATGGGTTTGGACCAAATTTGTTACCTTTATATGCATTATATGTCGCTTAATTCCTACTAAACTTATAATAATAGACACGGAAAGTTTGTTTAAGACATAACTTAGTTCCTATATTACATAGCATACAAGTAAACATAGTTAATTAATTAAACAAAATATTTTTCCAAAGGGTGATTTTTTATTACAAACTAACTTAAAGAAAAGGTAAACTATCAAATTAAAGTTAGCTAGTAATCAAGGACAAATATACAGAGCTTAAGAGTAATTAAGATGAAATTTTTTAGGATTATGGTATTGCTAACAATTATGTTGAGTATTCATCTGAATTAACATAGTGATTTATCTAAAATTACAATTAACAAGGTTTAATATTATGAATAAAAATTTCTCGAGTCTTAACTCGAAAACATTTAATTCAAAGTTCAAGAATATAAATTTTAAAAGGTTTTTGTTATTTCTTAAAATTTAATGAGAAATAAAAATCAGACAAACAAATTGAAACGAAGAGAGTAATAAATAAAATGCATACTTTACTATAATTAATATTCTTGTATAATCTTAACGAACAAGTAAAAGTACACAGAGAGAGTACTAATATAGGAAAAATTACTTGGGTGGGTACTATTTAATAAATAATTACTTTTTTTAACAATATTTTTTAATTTATCACTATTTATAGCAATACATAACAATATTATGATAAATCCGCACTATATATATATATATATATATATATATATATATATATGTTAAAAGTGAACTGTTCATGCAATATAAGTGTATTATAATATATACTAAAAGTGAACTGTTCATGCAATATAAGTGTATTTATAGTATTCTAAAAATATATTATGTTTGTTTGGTAAGAAATCGACACAATATTTATAAGTGTATTAAAATATGTGATAAATATATTACTCAGCAACAAAATTTGTATTATATATGTTATATAAATTATTCTCTGTATTATATATTAAAACTGTATTTTATATGTATTATAAATGTTAAGTAAAAAAGAAAATATTCTTACTATAAATAGTAAATATTTTCTTAATATAACATATTTACTTAACAAAAACAATTGCCGACCTACATTATTATTAGTAATATTTTCCTCCAATGTCCCTCCAAAATACTTTCTATATATATCATCCTTTTTTATTTTCCATAACAAAAATCAATATTTTTTTACTAGTATAAATTTAAATATCATCTTAATATTTCATCATCAAATTGTCCACTTATTTTTTTCATATTATTTTTACGTGCCCACATTGCCTTCTTCACACATTTATATTTTTCCTCATAACACAAAGGATGATGAATACTCAAGTTTCTCTTGCCTTCTTTTTCTTATGTTTCATCATTCTAATTTCAGGTGACATTTTTTTAACTTCTTCTATGTAAAATTTGATGGTATATTGAATTCGTAATCCATAATTTCTTATAATAATTACGATATTCAGTGCTAAAAAAAGTTAAATTGATCAAGTTTATATACTAAAT